ACTCCAGAGGCAACTTCCACTAATCCGGAGGTGCCGAACATACTGATGGAGGCACTGCAACATGCTTCCATCGTGGAGGCACATCGCACCAAGAGCGGGCTGAACGAAGCCTTCACTAGCCTGCTAACAGGCTTCGAGGTAGGCGATGTAATATTCTTGGCCGCTTTCCATATAAAATATGCCTGTATATAGATAGTAGCCCCTGAGACTCTGTTCGGCTTTTGAAAAGAAGCCAAACAGAGGATCGATAATACTTGCAGGAGATAATGTACTTTTCTATTTTGAGAAGCAGGCTTCACTGTTAGCGGCAACCGCCCAGGCCGCAGAAGTGTCCGAGCTCAAGCGGAAGCTAAGGTTAGCCGATGAGGATTTCGTCCGCATCAACAAGAGGCTTGACGAAGCGCAAGGTATGTTTCAGAATATCTCGTTCGTGCCTGTATTTAATATGCAGATTCCGAGTCAAAGCTCATGCAATGATATGTGTGTGATTACAGCCAGTGCTGCTGCGGTCGAGACCCTTAGGGGTGAACTTGCCCAGGCCAAGGAGTAGGCCCGAGTGAACAAAGCGGCCGCTGATAAAGCGGCCGAGGGCTTGAAGCTGAGCAGGTCATCCGTCGTCGATACGAGGAGTGGGTGACCGAAGTGGAGCAAGCGCTCAAGGATGCCGCCAGCAGGTGCGAGTCCCTAGAGGAGAAGGAGAAAACCCAGGCGACCGACCTTGCCAAGGCCCTTCAAGAGGCCCAGGAGGCATGGGCCAAATCCTAGGCTGCACACGAGGAGATCAAGGTTGTGGGTTGATGACAAGATTGGCAAGTGAGGTCCGACTAGCCATGATGATGTTCATCCCTTCCAGGTTCATGAGTTTCATCGCCATTTATCCCCAAGATGTTGAAAATCCCTTTTTTAGCTACCACACCGACTGAGGAAGGCAAAGCATTTTCAGAGGGAAAGAATTGTGCATGGTCAATAAACTTTGGAGGTGGCCACAATGTATAGGGACAACCAAGCAAAAAATATGTGAGTTCCCAACCAGGGAAATTTCTGAATTAGATGAGCTCTTGTCAAAGTTGGTTGGTAGCCTCTTCTCCTCGACGAAGCAAAGAAAAAACATTTCAAGGTTTTGAATATTGTTTTATGTGTGCCACATAAACCGCTACATCGTCCACATAGGGAGATACCTGAAATATGGTTTCACGGAACCGTGTTTTGTAGAGGAGCTCAAGTTGAGTAGTCGAGTCAAGACTCTGCGGCAAGGTGTCGATGGCTAGGACAAAATAATTGCAGGGATAAGGCAATGCCTTGTCTTAGATCTCGCACATGCTTAATAGGATGACCGGGAACACCATTTGGGAGCACCCTCGAGGAACACGTGGACAGCAAAGTGGCAACCGAATCACGGAAACCACTCGAAAACCCTCGCCTTTATAGAAGATAAGAAACGTAATCTCGTCGCACCGACTGTTTTGTTTCTTAGGAGGCTTCGTGCAAGGTTTCTAACGTGCATCACATTTGTCGGGTATGCTTCTCTTGTTGAACACGTTTTGGGCACTCGAGATGAGGTTGTTCATATGTGGCCCGAGCCATACGGCAAACATCTTGATACTTATCTTTGCGATGGCGTGTATTAGACTACCAGCGCTATACTCGGTGATGCCTTTCTCCTCCTTTTTTCTCAAGAAAGGGCCACGATGGATAAGGTAACATTTATGGATTAAGCCATCGAAGCCAAATATGGAGGTTCTTGAATAGGTGAGAATGACCTTCATAACGTCATCTTTAGTAATGCCCGAACATTTCTAAACGCCCGTAAAGCCGTCCGGTCCGAGTGCCTTGTCTTGACACTCCAAACCCTCCCAATTAAAATCTTGGGATCAAGATCACTTCTCCAATTTCCAAAAAAAAAATCAAACACTTCTCCAATGCGATTGATAGACAAAACTCTTCCTAGTTTCTCTAATCTACGCATCGTTTCATTTCCCATCCTTCTCTTTCCTAATTAGGCTTACAATCATCTTATCCTACGACGGCGGGGGCCGACGGCGACGCGCGCGCTGCCGAGATCCTGGCACCTGCCAAGGGCGGCGACGGCGGCGAGACAGCGGCACGTTGGAGTGAGCTGGGAGCCGCGTGCGTGTCGACGGAACCCCGTCATAGACGTCGCTGCGGCACAGGATCGCGCTGGACCCGGCCCCGGGCGACGGCGGTGCCTCCTCCCTCGCCCACCGTCCAAAACGAAAGACGGGACGGGACCCACGTACACCGGCCGCGCAACGGAAGGCCGCGACCGTTGCTACTTTCCACGGGCTGGATCAAAATCAACTCGCCGAAATCTTTCCAGGAGCCACTCAACCGAAAATTGCTTTCCGAAATCTTGTTGTTTTCCGTTGCTTCCTGCTATTATCAATGAATGCCAGCAATGCTGGATCTTTCAAAAAAGAAAATTGCTTTCCGCAGGCCACTAGCAGGAAACATATCCTACGGGAGATATACCAGCAGTAGCGCATACTACTGCTACCATGCTAGCACCAGCGAACATAACTGTTTCCTGGCAGTGGATTGCACCCTTCACGCACAGATAGCACCACGGCCGTGCCGGCACAAAAAGAGCAAAAAGGGCAGCAAAATACCATTACTTTTCGCCACGAAAAAGGAAGAAGAGTCGAGCAAAAAGGACGGCACTAGTCTACTAGATCAGCAGCGGATGCTTAGGTGACAAGGGTTTTTCATCCGCCATGCATTGGCGTTTCGTTTCTGCCCTTTGGGACCAAGCAAATCGCCCGATCCTGCGATCATGGCCGACCACGGCAATACTATACTCACGTTTTAAAATCGGCCGGCTTTGGAGTAAAACATTTCCACAGAATCTCTCTCCGCTCTCTCTCTCTCTCTCTCCCTCATTTTGTATGTCACGTTGGGAGAATTTAATGCCAACGAAGCTTTCATCTCAATCCATATCCGTGATCTCCAGAGATGGCAGCGGGTACAGTGTTGCTGTCGAAGAATGATAAGGAAGACTCGTCTACTTCCGGAAAACTGATAATGCGACTCTGACCGATGAACCGGTCCACCAACACCGTGCATAACATTTGTGGATCGAGATTCCCCGTCCCGCAGCTTCTGGCAACAAACCCGTGAGCAATTATGGAAGTTTTAGCCGCAAAGAGCTTGCTAATTGCCGAGCATCAGCTGATGATCGCATACATGTACAGCATTATCTTCTTCGGTGTTGTTTCTGAACCCACCGGTTTCTGAATTGCTGTGTGCGAGGGAAGGAAACTGCTGGATTTTGTGTGCCAACGAAGTAACGAACTAGTGCTGAATTTCCGACGCTGAATACTCCACTTGCGAAATTCAGACGACCATTTCTATTTCGTACTGACAATCTAGGACGCATTCCGGGAAAAGCAGCTGGCTCATGGACAGGCGAAGAAGTGTCAAGGAAACTGCATAAGCTGCAACTGTATCTACTTTACTCAAGACACAATTTGCCGAATTAAATCCACAATTGTTCAGGTACTCCGGGGCAGCACAGCCAACGCCTGACCTAAGCATTTCGCGCCCTCGCGGCGTCATGCCTGCATTTTCCGTGGCGCGCACTGCACCTCAAGTCCTCAATCAAATTGATTATAAGATATTAGGAAAAATTAATCCCAAGTGCATTCAATGTACTCAAAGATTTAGTCTTTGCACACATAAACAAGAGTACATCCCGGCCGACCCGAGCACCATACGCGTCCAGATCCATAAGCCCGACATCTCCATAAGTACCCATAATTATTCCGCGGGATTATCCTCTTCACAGTTGGACCGTCAGCCCGCTGGTGCTTAGTGGCTAAGCAATGGGTGATATTTCGCGGTGTCGCAGCGCATTTCCTCGGCGCGCAATGCAATTGGAATACACTGCTCCGCACAGTCAAGCATTTGGTTTGGATTTTACCACAAGGCTTCTACAGTCTCCGTTAGAAATTTTGCCTCGTCGATAAATCCGCGGATTTACCAGCTACCAGGCCAGGTTACTCACTGCGTAAAAACAGTGCATTTTCACGTGCCGTTTTATGCGTTGTCCACTAGCGGCACGTACGTGGCAGCCAGTGACACTGACAGAGGACAAGCATGGATCGGTCGAGCTCGGCCCGGTGAGAAAAGGATCTCTGTACCTTGCGATTTAACCCTCGATTCGACAGCGCAGACCGGCACGCTTTCGCGCCGGAACTCGTCGAACTTTTTCCTGAATTTTGTGTGGCTGCGTATGGACGGCCTCGCTCGTGGTTACTGGTATCTTTCATGGCCACAGTAGAAGGCGAATTCTTGGACGAGTCATCGGCCGCTCGATCGCTCCTGGTCACACACAAAAACAGCGGAGAAAACTGACGCGTACTACTAGTAGTTAGAGCGTACGTACGTAGCACCGGCACCATCACTTCCACCCACCTAACCGGTTCAGCCGTTGAAATCTTCGCCGTCGCGTGTGGATAATCATTGGTGGCAAGTCGTCTCGGTCCATCCACGCCGTCTGGCATGAAAAACTAGCTGGAGAGATCGAAGTAAAAAATTCGGTAAGATTATAGCAGATGATTACACAGAGGAATATTATCCAGGATGCTATCATTAGCGAATCATTTGGACATGCTCATCCAGAGGGTGAAGTGCTTTAATTTACCGCCGTTGGATCACTGCGGAGCAATTAATCACCATTAAGTAGGGGCTAAGCATGGGGGTGCGGTAAATAAGTGGGTAAAACTCGCCGAGCCCGCGGCACCGGTCCGGCCGCAGGTTGGCTTCCCCCGCACGCCAGTCCGTAGCTATAAAACCGCCCCCAGACCGCCGCTCCATTCCAGTGTTCTCAAGCCCAAAGCGTCCGATCAATCACAGAAAATCGTCCCTCCATATCTCCCCAGCTCTTCTTCCTCCTCCGACCTCCTCCTCAGCTCCCGTGTCATCTGGTTCTTCTTCCTCAGATAGCGAAGAAGGCTAGTAGATCCGGTCGAGAGGGCGCGGCGATGTCGGACGTGACGGCGGTGATGGATCTGGAGGTGGAGGAGCCGCGGCTCTCGCTCCCGCCGGGCTTCCGGTTTCATCCGACCGACGAGGAGGTGGTCACCCACTACCTCACCCCCAAGGCCGTCAACAACGCCTTCTCCTGCCTCGTGATCGCCGACGTCGACCTCAACAAGACCGAGCCGTGGGATCTCCCCGGTGAGTACTACTACTCCTCCTCGAGGCGAGAGGAGCGTCCGTTCGGTTCGATTTGCAGCTCGCTCATGGCCGGCGGTTCGTTTTGTGCAGGGAAGGCGAAGATGGGGGAGAAGGAGTGGTACTTCTTCGTGCACAAGGATCGCAAGTACCCGACGGGCACGCGCACCAACCGCGCCACGGAGAAGGGGTACTGGAAGGCGACGGGGAAGGACAAGGAGGTCTTCCGCGGCAAGGGCCGCGACGCCGTCCTCGTCGGCATGAAGAAGACGCTCGTCTTCTACACCGGCCGAGCGCCCCGCGGGGACAAGACGCCGTACGTGATGCACGAGTACCGCCTCGAGGGCCAGCTCCCCCACCGCCTCCCCCGCTCCGCCAGGGTACGCCCGCCCGCAAGATTCGATTTTGCTTTTCCGTCCACGCCGGTCCGGCCGGCCGGCCGTGTCGATCGATCGGTCTATCGAACCGCCGGAGCGTCCGGAGATGCCGCCGGCTGGACCACGCACGCGGGCGCGCGCGCGCTCACATGTCGCGCTCCGGATTTGTTCCTTGCTTCTTATTTTCCTCGTGTTGTTTTCTCATCCTTGCCTGTTGCGTGCGCGCGTGCAGAACGATTGGGCTGTTTGCCGGGTGTTCGACAAGGACTTGGCGGCGAAGAATGCGCCGCCCCAGACGGCGTCGGCGGCCGTCGGGGTCATGGAGGACCCGTACGCCTTCCTCGACGTTGACGACTTCTTCAACAACCCCGACCTGCCGATGCTCATGGACTCCCCGTCAGGCGCCGACGACTTCGCCGGCGCCTCGAGCTCCACCTCCAGCGCCGCCGTGCCGCTGGAGCCGGACATGGAGCACCTTTCCATCAAGACGGAACCGCCGGTGCCGCAGCAGCAGATGCAGAGCCCCAACTACTTCTTCATGCCGGCGACGACGGCCAACGGCAACCACGGCGGCGGCGCGTACTCGCCCTACCAGGCCATGGGGGAGCAGCAGAGCGCGATCCGCAGGCACTGCAAGCCGGAGGCGGCGTCTTCGTCGGCGCTGCTGAGCCCCTCGCTCGGCTTCGACACCGGGGCGCTCGCCGGCGGGGACACCTCGTTCGTGATACCGTCGTCTCGGTCGTACCTCGATCTGGAGGAGCTGTGCCGGGGCGAGCCTCCCATGGACTACTCCAACATGTGGAAGATCTGATTGAATCCATCCATCTCTCCGATGGACCGGAGCGTCTCAGCTTGCTGGTAGCCATAGACGGTTAATTTGGTTGGTGCTAGCTCTTGGATTGATTAGTTGCTTCATTAACTTTGGTTATTAAGGATTGGGTTAATTAGGCGCGCGGCGATGATTCGAGGAGGATCGTCGCGTGTGTTGTTGTTGATGCGTGCAAGGCATGTGAGCGAGCGAGTGCTGATTAATCTTAATTAGGGTGTGAGATATCAAACTGCTAGGAGGCATCTGTAGTTTGTTTGTACATATATAGGTACCAGATTGGTGTCATACAGTTCAGTGATTAGGGGGGTGAATTGGAGGGTGAGAGATCATACCGAGACCGAGTTTGATTGATGAATCTGATTGTGTGTTGATGGAAATGAATTATTCCCCTTCTAGATGAATGTTCTATTTATTTGATTGTTGTTTGATCTTATATGTCATGGTTGATTCTGGGGCCATGGGTACTGGACGGTTTTGTGTCCGATGACCGTGTGTTTCCCTATCCAGCATTGATGTGCTTACCAAGCAAAATATACCAAGATTGCTTGAAGATTTTGAAGCGCACAATCACGATGCCATGGTACAACTGTAGTTCTATCCCCTTACCCTGTTGAGGTGGCGGGTTTGATTTTTCTAAATATAGCAAGAATTGGTCGGGATGGTTCTGGCCGTGAGATGTGTTTACCAAGCAAAATATACTGGAATTGCTTCAAGATTTTGAAGCTCCCAATCACAAAGCCATGGCACAGCGGTTGTTCCAACCCCTCCCCTTCAATTTCCTTGTATAGGCCACGGGTTTGATTTTCCTTAATATAGCAACAAGTGGTCGGGACGGTTCGGAACGGTGACCCGTAGGGGTATAGAACAACCGTGTGAAGCCATTCGAGTGCGTTAGCAAAATCTTCATGTTTGTTTCCACTTCACTTCAAAGCGTAATCATTTCCGTCCGAAAAAACCCTAACCATTTCCATGCTGAAGATTGTGAATACAAATCGCGTGCGGTTAGTGACCATGTGGTGTATTTTTATGGTAAATTCACCCTTCACCACAGGGCTTTCTTCGATTGGGCTTTGTTCTTCATCCGTGGGCGAAAATTTATACTATTGGATTTCTTACAAAATTGTTGGCTCAATTAGATTTTTTTTAGGCTATGTTGGCTCAGTTTTTTTTTTAATGCAAAATATGTTGGCTCAGTTGGATGGGCGTGATTAGTTGTGTTGTGGCGCGGCCTCCGAAGCGGGCTGTCGCGCTCGCGCGCAGGAATCCAACGGTTTCCCGTGCGTGCATGCGTGTACCCAATCATCTCCGTCCGTTCCGAGGCCACGGGCCGCCCGGCCGTCGTCGTCATCGAGCCCACTTGCATGCCCCCGCGCGCGAAAAAGATAAGCCCTAATCAAATCGTTTCCCAGCGGTTAATTGGCCCAATGGGAATGCGAATGCTTCTCGTCGTACTACTTCTCAAAAAAAAAAAAACTTCCTCGGAGACTTGGAGCAATTAAACAACAGTACTTTCTGCCCGCTAGCTGGCCGTGCGTGCTCCCACGCGCTTCCGCTTTCCGTTCGACGCAGCGCGCAAGAAACCCGATCGACCGACCGATCCCTCGCCGGCCGTGGATGGATAGGGGCAATGTGCGGGGCACATGCTCGCTGGAGAAACGGCATATTCCGTCCGCCCTCGCGCGCACAGAACGGGATCTTTTTCACCGTGACCTTTTCTTTGCCAGTTGTTGGGTGGGTAGAGAGATGGGCTAGCTTGGCTGGGCGTTGGCGTCTTTATCCGTCTGTCCGCGTCGCCGTCGCCGCCGGATGGATGGCGTCACAGCTTTGGGGTCGGTAGCTTTCCGTTCACACCACATCCGGGCTGCTTTGCGGCGGCGCGCTGTGCCGTCCGCTCCGCTGCGGCGTGCCCGCGCGCGCACCGCCTCGGCCGCGGCCCCGGCCCCGGACCTGGCTGGCCGTGGACGGCCAGCTGCGTCGTACGCGTATCGTCTTCCCCGGCTGTGAGCCTGTGACACGGCGGCGGGCTAGATGGTGATGCCCAGGTGCGTGTTGCTTTCAGCGGCAGGATTGGAGTGAGCCGGCCCCCCTGACCTGACAAAAGACGCACTGTACCACCCCAAAGATGCAGAGATTAAGAGTTGGATTCAGCCATGAGTAACGGATTTTCTGATCCATGGATCCAATAATTAACGGCTCCACGTGCCATCCTTGTGAAATGACGAGACATTTTTGTCCGGTCCAGCAGGGTACAGATGGGTCGTTGTAGGGAACCGGTGCGTGGCCGGTTGCATACGTGTAGTATGTGTGATCGATCGTCTCTTGTACTTTCTGCGGGGGCCCTACGTTTGCCTGCGTATATCCGGTTTACGACACCGTCAGAGAATATGTAATGGCATGATCCCGATCGCTCGTGAGCCGCGCTATTTGCATGATTAACTCACGCTGTGCGGGACATCACATCCACCGTCGTCTATTAGCGCGGGAACGAGACAAGATCGATAGATCGTCGTGTCCTGCGTGCCTACGAATTTGAAGATACGACCCGAGAAATGAACCATGCATGGCCGACGGCTTAGCTATTGGTCGAAGACAGGAGCATGCATGTGGCCAGGTAGCACGCAAGACTTCAACACTAATCATTGCAATGTTAATCCTTGTTTTTTGAGAAACCGTTGCAATGTTAATCCTTGTTTTTTGAGAATCCGTTGCAATGTTAATCATGGAGTAAATGAAATTGTGAAGTGATTATTGGTTGATTTGCTTTCGGCAGCACTGTCACTTCCGGGCCGTCGTCAAACACGGTTGGATGCTAGTTAAGTTTACGTCTCTGGGAGGGGTGGACACAGCGAGGATTTGCTGGCTTCAGGCAGAGGTCACCTCGGTCTCGGTTAATCGTACACGCACGAGGTGTTGCCCATTTTGTTTCTTTCATTGTACTTAAACGTGGTAATGTGCCTGCCCTTCCAGAAGTATTACTACGGCCTGCTAAGCTTAGCACACTACTCAATCGAGTTAATTGAGACAGTGACCTAGGCTCCCAATCGAGTTAACTGAGATAGTGACATGGGCTGCCAATGTCCTCCCTCCTAGACCCGCTGGCACCCCTCTCCTCGACCACCTCCCTCCCGAATCCCGATCTCCTCCCTTCCAATCCCACCCCTCCCCGATCCGATGTAGGGCTTCGAGCCCTTGCCGCCACCGCTCTCCTCGCCGCCCTCACCAGGCAAGGGATGATGGTGGCGGTGGGGCCTTCCTCTGCCGGAGCTTCGAACGCGGTTGCGGTAGATATCCGTGTGGGTGTCCTAAATGTGTGCATCATCTGCCATTGGCGGTGAAGTGGTGATAGGGCCCCTCCGTCATTCATGGCCCACCAAGGCCGGGCGACAGTTTCGGACGGTGGTGCGGCTCTGGTCGTGCGGTTGCCCGGCGGCGAACATCACCCATGGGTGTGCTGGGGATGGGCACGAATTTGCTAGCGAAAGCTTGGTTCGGCCTCAGCCAGAACCGTCAACGGTGACGCCCGCGGGCGTCGTTACCTTGTTGGAGGGGTGAGGCGATTCGTGTTCCCTATGTGCCCCGGGGGAAACCACATATTCGGGCTTTCTGGATTGGATGATTGCTTGGTTCATGTGTCGTCACCCCCATGGGGCATCATCTTTGGGGTTGTACACCGGCTAGAGGATTATGTGTTTGTCTTGGTGGTTGGGCGCGTGTCTCCGTATGCTTCTCGTGTGGTGATCAAGGTGGAGAGGTGTGCCATGTACAGTATCGACGATGGCGAGTCTTGCCGGCAAGGTGGAGCGAGGTCTCTGCACTGGATACCATTTGATGAGCGCGCATAGGAGTCAGGCGTTGTTCAGCGTCGTCGTGGTGTCGACGACAGATGGGTCTGTGAAAGATAAGTCCATTGATTGCTCCTGAAGATGGGAATGCGGAAGAAGGTGGTGACGGATTTTACAGCGTGCGCATGCGGTGCACGTTGATGGTCTGCTCGAATGGTTGGTGCTCCCAGATAGCCGGCGGGCAGCTTGGTGGGGCGACTGGGTTTCTTGGTGTGCATGGCGCGCGGTTAGAGCATATCATCAATCTTGTAGGTAGGCCAACAGTTTTTGCCAGGAAGGTGGCTTTGGGTTGATCTATGTATTTATCCTGTAAGATCTAGTTGAATAATGCAACAAAGATGGCCATGTGCATTGCTCGATTCAGAGGCCAGGGATAATCCTCCTTTTCGAAAAAAATCGAGATAAATGGTACTCTCTTTACAAAGAAATATAAAATTGTTTACAGAGGGAGTATCCTACAAATTATTGTTGTTGCTATCTGAATATCATTCGAAGTAAATGCTAATTAATGCTTATTTATGTCTCTAGGCCGCACTCTAGTGCAAGTCACAACGTAGAAGAGAGGAGCTGTAAATCCTTGGTCGAGAAGTTCTCCTTTTTGAACTTCCTTGATCGAGAAGTTAACCAGCTGGCTTCTTCAGTAAGTTTGATGTTATTTTCTATTTTTTTAGTTGTGCATTCTGTTTGTTCATAGATATCAACTTTTTTTTTGCGAGGCTAAGCCGAAAACCCGGCAAGGCGGGCCACCTCGTCACAGGTCATTTTTTACAAAAAAGAAGAAGAAATTAATGGTTACTCGGGAAGAAATGCACTTTCTAGTCTAAGAGGCAGGAGTTATGGGAATTCATCCCATCATTTATTAATAGATTGCGATGGATATACCACCAATGGTAATGGAAGGCATGTTGCAACATTAACCGCTTTTTGGCTACTTTAGAAAGTGTGATATTGCTTTTTTCCGGAGTAACTGGCAGAAATACGAACTTTACAACAAGCTTTTAGGCGGGGCTAAACCGAAAAACCGCATGAAAAGGCATGCCGACTATTCACGCAAAAGGAGACTATATGAAATATGCATGTGGATGTTTGCCAAGGCTTGGTGTGCCACCTAAAAAACCGCTATACACGTGTGCTTTCTAG